AAAAGAAAAAAAAAATAAGTTAATGTGACATTTAATCCCAAAATACGGTCTGCTGAATACTGGTGAAGTAAAACCACTTAAGCATTTGTATAGTTTCCAGTTCAAATTCATTATCTCTACACTCAGTCTGATTCCCAAAGACACCCAGCAATTATTCTTCATAATCATCATACCCTTTAACCACCTTGTCTCTTAATTGTAGAGATTAGCAAATCAAAAAGAACTTTCTCAATTAATATTCCTTTTTGGTTAAATTTGCCTGAACTAATAATGTTCATCTACTACTTCCCATCTATTTCACTGGAAGCATTATTCCTCCCCCTATTGATGCCTTCTACTTCTATTTTGTCTTCTATCCCTCAATGCTTTCTGAGAAACATTCTACCATTAATTATGCTCTCTTCTGGTTTCTATTTCTTCCCTTCTACTGGCTTTTCACTCTGAGCTTATAAATAAAATTTCCCCCATTTTAAGAGCCATTCTGACTTTCAAGTTCCACCCAAAGCCAAGTTTGTTGCTTGTGGTTTTTACTGCTTTATCTGTCTTTTATTCACATATCTAGTCTGATTTTTTCTCTCCCCATACTATTTAATACGAATTTTGCTGATCATTAACAATCACTATATTGTCAATCCAATGTTTTCTTCTCCATCCTTATCTTATTTGATTCCTCTGTGATGATAAAAACTCCTGATCACAGGCTAGGGTTGTGGCTCAGTGGTAGAGTGCTTGCCTAGCATGCACAAGGCACTGGGTTCAATCCTCAGCACCACATAAATGTAAAATAAAGATATTGTGTGTCCACTGAAAAATTAAGAATAAATTTTTAAAAAAGAAACTCTTGATCACTCTTTTCTTTTTGAGGTTTATCTTTCTGGGGTTCCTAATACACCATGCTCTTCCAGTTTTTCTTTTTCCTCCCTTTCCAGCCACCAGTCTCAATTTTTTTCTATGGTTCTTTTTAGCAGTTTACCCTTCAATGTCAATGTTGTCTAGAGTTCTGTCCTTGATCTTATGATTTACTCCTGGCTACTCTCAGGTCTCATCTTTTATTTTGTTCTCCTTTTATTTTATATTCTAGTTATGTGAGATTTTCAGTCCCTGACAAAGGAATTTATTCTCACAGCCTTTGCACATATTTTCCTCCTTAGAGGGCTGATTCTCCCTTGACATTTAGCTCTCATCTTTTATGATACTTCCTTCAGAGATGCCTCCATGATTCATTCCCCCATTTCTCTCATGCCCTATATTCTCCAAAAAAGGGTTAGGCCCTCCTTCTTTATTCTCCCTTAGCATCCTGTACTTAATCACGTTTAGCACATAATATTACATTTTCCATTTCCCTCACTACATTGTTATGTTCTTCTAGGCAAGGTGCTTGGTACAATATTTGGCATATGTGCTCACTTAATATCTATTGAAAAATAAATCCTTTTCTTTTTCCTATAATCACTTATCTTTGGGTACCTTAAAAATCCAAAGTTTTAACTATAACCTATATGTATTTGACTTCCAATTTTTGATTATTTGTCCAAGCTCTCTACTGAATTTCAGTCACATACCCAACTCAAATTTACCGACACCAAGTTTTATTGATTCTGCTACCTAAAAAACTATTATACTCTTCCCATATTCTTTAATTATCAGTCTCTTACCACATCAACAATAGCTTTCTAACTAGTCCTACTGAGTCCAACCTGTCAACAACAGCTTTCTAACTAGTCCTACTGAGTCCAACCTGTCCTACCACATTGCTATTAAAGAAAGTTTTATTTTTTTTTTGTTTTTTAAATTCTTTTAATTGTCAGTGGACCTTTATTTTATTTATATGTGGTGCTGAGAATCGAACCCAGTGCCTCATACATGCTAAGCAAGTGCTCTCACTGAGCTATAACCCCAGCGCCAAGAAGGTTTTTTAACAGGAAAATTTGGCCATGCCATTCCCAAGCTTAAAATCTTTCAGTGGTTTTTCCATATCTTTCAGAATAAAGTTCCAGTTTCTTAAAAGTATCATGTGATTTCTCAGCTCCATGCCTTTGCACATGTTGTCCTTTGTGCTGAAAAGGAACCTTCTTTCTTTTCTTTTCCTTTCCATATCAAGACTCAATTCCACTATTACTCCCTCTGAAAAACCTTTCTCAACTCTTTATATTTGTTCTTAATTTTGATGCCAGTATGTGTTCTCATCATACTATGCTTGCTCCTTTTATTTGACCTTATTGAACAACATTCTTTATTTACAAGTTTACTTTCCAGTCTCAAGCTCCTTGAAGACTGAGATAATATTTTACTGAAAAAATTTTAGTAGGCACTAAGTAAATGTTTTTAAATAGTGAACTTATTCTCTGAACAACATTCAGGTTCCATAAAATTCTGTTCTCTGGATTAAGACCATGAATGAATTTATAATCTCATACGTTATACATATAAACTTAAAAGACACTGACCAAGGCAACAGTCTTGTTAAATATTCACATTAGTAATATATTAAGTACTGTATATAACATAGTACACATTTTACCATTCAGTTTTACTGAGCAAACACTTACAGGTTTTGGCTTCTCCCTTGAATTACATTTTTTCAAATGTTTTGCTAGTTGATCTTCATATACTGTGCTAAATTTGAAAAGAAAATATAAAATGAGACTTCTGACAATTATTGTTTCTACCACAGAAAAACCCTTATTTGATCTATACTTACTGTTTTGGATCTAAAGGACACAGGATTCTTTTCCGAGCATTTTCTTCCTAATGTGTTAAAAGGGATATATTTAGTTAAGTAAAATATCAGTTTTACTACTTATAGATACTAGATATAACTTTTGTGTATCTGCACTGTCAAAAAAAAGGTAAGAAAAGTTTAAAAGGACATAACGAAAAATTGGCAAAATCAGGTCATAGGGTTTAACAAAAACAAAATATCCAATGTAGCTAATATCTATATAAGAATAAAAACTGCTTTGGACAAACAAGTGTCTATGGCTTCAAATAGGTTATAATAAAGGCCTATATATGCACAGAAATTTGAATCCAAGATAACATCTACTATAATATGCACTATTATTTTATGTACCACCAAGAAAGAAAAAAAGTTAAACATTTAACTAAAAACTGACAAAAATTTTATGTTTATCATATACAACATGATACACTGAATTATGTTTACCTTGCGGAATGGCTAAATTGAACTAAATAACATATGTATTATCTCATTTATCATTCCTGTGGAAAATACTACCCATTTAAATTATGACATATCACTGATTTTAAGAACCATCTTGATCTCTAAGTTATAAAAATCTGAAAATAATTATTTTAGAAACAATGAAACACAGTATTTTAACAATTAGGTATGTGCCATATTCTACTGACTTCAACTTTTCAGTATAGCAGTTATATCCTCTCACTTTAAGTTACACAGATTTAACTATATGCACTGTGAAAAAAGGAAAATTAATAATCTTGGCAATTCTACTCCACATTCCATATGAATCTGTATGAACAGCATAAACAGTAGTTAAACCACAGACCAGTTCAGGACTACTGATATATTTCCAGTTCTATCAGCTACCAGCTACATGACCTAAGTGGGCTTATTGCCTCATACAAAAGATAAGAATAATATCTTACCTACTAACGTTGGTGAAAATTAGCGAGCTATTAGTTTTTTGTATTTTAACAAAAGGGATAAAGCTGCTTAGCATAGTGCTAGCCATGGAATAAAAGCTGACCAAGGGCTTACTCTTTTTTTGTGTGTGTGTGGTACTGAGGATTCTGCTCAGGGACTTGAACATAATTAGGCCTTAACACTGAGCTACATTCCCAGTTAGATTTAAATTTTGAGTGTCACTAAGTTGCCCAGACGAGTCTTGAATTTGGGATCCTCCTGCTTCAGCCTGGATAGTGTTCATTCTTATGGACTTTTTTTCTCAATTTATTTTAGTTCTGATGTGCCTCTTAGCATGTTCATGAAAACTATGCACACTGAATTTTATGGAAAAAATTTTTGAAAATACTTTTATTCCTTATTTGTTAACTTAAAACTTAATTTCCGCCAAGGGCTTGTCTACAGTCCCCACAACTTGGAAGGGTAAGGTGGGAAAATCATTGAGACCAGTTTGAGACCAGCCTGAGTAATTAAGATCCCTGTCAAAAAAACAAAAGAAACAACAAAACTTAACTTCCATGTAGGAAAAGCCTCTATTCTAACTTCCAAAGTCCAATCATAGAGTGAAGAATAAAAGCACCTTTTAAAACTTGTTGTTTGGATTTAGAAACGGGGTTTCTCAAACCTCAGCACTATTGACATTTTGGCTTGGATAATTTGTTTTTTGGAAGGGGGCTTTCTAATGATTTGTAGGTTTAGCAGTGTCTCTGGACTCCACCCATTAGATACCAGTTATACTTCCCAGTTGTGACAACCAAAATGTTTTCTGTCATTGCCAAGTGTCTTCTGGGGAACAAAATCATCCCCAGTTGAGAATCACTGGCTAAAAATGGGTTTAAGGAATGTCATCAGTGTCACTTTTAAAAAAAGATGAAGAGGAAAACAATATTCCAATTTCATCATGAACTACAGATTCAGGAGAATGGTTAACAATCAAAACCCAGTGTTTGGAAGTGTTTCCCCTGGTATTTTGCAGTCTTTCTCCAAGGAACTAATAACTACATGTAGTTCCTTTTTAAGAATAGCAATCACCTTGTAGATTTAGCCACATTCTAATACTATTACCATCTTCATTACTTTACAGATGTCTGGATACAGAGTGGGAACAAAATTTTTGTGCTCTGATAAATTTCATTCTTCAATCAAGGGTGTTTGCTGGCCCCCTAAAATCAGCCAATAAAATTACAGGAGGACTTCACAAGTAGTTTCCACAATAAGTCACATTTCCCATATTCCAAAACAAGAAAGTTCTTGTTTCAGTATGCTTCCCTTTAGGTAAACGTTACCAACCCAAAACAGGAAGTAGGCTGTGGCTATGAAATGTAGTTTTACACAAAGGGGCTCATCTGCACTGTATTTTTGACTAGAAGGATAAAATGTCAAAAATAAAATAATGGCAGGGGCTGGGGTTATAGCTCAGTAGTAGAGTGCTTGCCTGGTACTTGTGAGGTACTGGGTTGATCCTCATCACCACATAAAAAATAAATAAATAAAACAAAGATATTGTATCCATCTTTAAAAAAATATTAAAAAAAAATAAAATGCAAATAATACTGGACTTTTAGAAGGCATGAAGCCAGATGCTAGTCTATTTGGTTTATTCTTTATTTTCCTATTATATATATATTATATACTTATAGTTTATATGTCATATATAGTATATACTCTATATTATGTACTTACATATGCCATAGATAGTATATACTATATATTATATTCTTATTTTATATATTACTTATATATTCTTATATATCATATATATGCTTATATAATGCATACAAGCAAATATACATTGGTTGATAGTATATTTATATGAATATTGTATTATCGAACAAGATTGCACATTTTCTGCTTTCAGCTTTAAAAGGTCAATTCTTATATATATATTTTAAATCATTCCCTCCCCATTCCAGCCAAGTAGTTGTAAGTTGCTGTCTAGAGATTGTAAGCCTAAATAAAAATTTTAGAAGTTTCTCTTTAGAGCATTTACAAGAAGTGGTTATTGTTCATGATACAACAATTAGAACACAACCAGTGAACTCTAGGAACTTCAATCGCTACTTTTTCTAAACTACCACTTCCCATCAGGAAGGCGGAGGGTGGACGGAGTTAAGGAGCAGCAGTTTGGGGCAAAACTAAAGTCTAGCATTCCCGAGGTAGGATCAAGATGAACGTGTCACAGCTCGCGTTTCACTTAAAGAAAACAATGCTCATCACTAGGGCTCATCATCGCTCCACAAGTAGGTCAGAACTTCGTTTATTAAAGTAAAAGCTGGAGAATCCAGGGGACAGAAGCAGAAACCTGTCAAAGAGGGGAGGGGCCGGGTTCCAGCACCGACCGCTCCGGTAAACTTATTGTCGACTCTCAGAAGGTTAGGGCGATACCAGACCTCCGCGGCTCCAGCGTGTTCACCACAGAACCTTTTCCCGGCGGCCACCACCATTCTACAGAATCGCTTCTTCTTTTCCACATAGTAACTGCATCTACCCTCTGCTGGAAAGCCAGTAGCATGCGGTGTCCGCGCCGAATCCGCCATAATTCTGGGTGAGCTTCGGTAGCCAGCATCCGGCGCCCAGAGCAAAAGTTGTCACTTTCCTTTGGGTGGTTTTCCCTTAACAAGCATGGCGTCCTCGGGTCGGGCCACACAGGTAATCCTCGGAAACAGCGCCCCGCCCTCGTCCCTTCCGTAGCAAAACCGGAAGAGACTGACGGTGTCTGGTGAGGTCCAAACCTCCTTCGTTTTCCCTCTGTTTCTCCCCGCCTCCTCCGCGGGAGCCGAGCGCCAAACTCAAAACTTTGTCAGGACCAGCACGTCTTTCAGGCTACTACCGAGGGCCGGCCTGTTTGGCTTTTCCGCACAGCGGCCGGGGCAGGGGTCCAACATGAGCCAAGTTCTGTTCCAGCAACTAGTTCCGCTGCAGATGAAATGCAAAGACTGCGAGGAAAGGTTAGGTCCGCGTCACCCAGTGTCGGCGGGTGGCGGTTGGGGTCGGGCCAATGGGGAAAATGGCGGCTTCGGCCGGTGGGCACCGGCCTGCGGCTGGGTGTCGGGCTGGCCCCTAGGAAACTTAGTGAGAACCCAGCGGGCACCTCCTGGTTTCGTCTTTCCCCGAGTTGGCTGTTACAGAGGGGACGAAAGGAAAGGGATGAGGAAATGGGAAACCGACTCACTTTGAGTATGTCAAAAATCCTAACTTCCGAATGGCACCGTGCAGATGATAGGCTAGTGTTCATTTTTGGCAGGTAAGAGCTCTGGCCTAGAGAAATTAATTGACACCAGGGCTCACGGTGAGCTCGTGGCTGGGTCAGCATGAGAACTTGGGCCTTGGCCTCCAGCCATTTTTTTCATTCTGGGAATACATTTTTCAACTTCAACTAAAAAGAAATAATTTCAGTGGTCTTATTCACATTACTCATAAAATTACTTTTAATTGATCAAAAACAATGAGAAATTGGAAACTCAGCGAATTCACTCAAGAAATGTTGCCTCCTTGTAAACACCTGGCAGAGAACGGGGCATACATTGATCTTAGTGTAGTCTGCAGCCCAGTAGAGGAAAGACAGGCCAGCCTCTCAACTAAGTGCAAAATTGCAAGGTTGACTAAGATAGTGGTGCCGCTAGACCCTAAATCGGCTGGACTAGAGGTCAGGAGATCTAATTTTTTTTCTTCGTTCCACCCACGGATTCTCTCTTAGCTTCTGTGAACATTGCTTCCTCATCTGTGACATTGATAGAGCATACTACCCACATAGTTGTTAATGAGGATCAAGTGGAAAATGTATGTTAAAAACTAAATGGCATAGAATGTAGCATAAAATGACATTGATTTATTGAGTTGCCAGTAATGTTAAACTGTAGTATGTAATTAAGAATTGAATCTAAAATGAGTTGGCAAGCCAGACAGGAGATGGTACCAAAACCAAAGGTTCATATGGGAGATCTGTTATTTGGCTTGGTCATTCTTTGTCCTCTTCTTTTTTGGTTTTGAGGATGGAACCGGGGCTCTTGCTCATGTTAAGCACATGCTTTACCACTGAGCTATATAACAACCACCACCACCACCCCCTATTTTTTTTTTTATTCTATTGTTCTGCTAGTATGGTATCCACTAGCCACATCCAAACTGATGTGCTGTGTGAAATGCACACTGGATTTTGAAAACATGTTGTGTGGGGAAAAAAGAATGTAAACTTTCTCAGTTTTCATTTTGATAAAATGGCAATATTTGAGATATATTTGGCCAGATAAAATGCATTCTTAAAATTAGTTTACCTGCTTTTTAAAGCTTTTTAAAAATGTGGTTTCTAGAAAATTTAAATTATTACATACATTGCTCATATTTGTGACCTGCATTGTCACAGATCTAATAGGGCAACACTGTTCTACAATGATTATACAAAGAAAAAGGGATCATCATTTCTGATTCCAACATTGAAACTCTTAGCTTTTTTCCTTCTGTACATTGTTATCTCAGTTTATCGTCTTAAAACATAATTTCAGCTTTTTCATTCTTCTTGTTAGTAATCTTTCATATAGTCTTAGGATCTGTAGCATAATTCAGCAAACTAAATACTCAGTGAGACAGATGGGCCACTGTAAATAAAACTTTATTTGAACATAGCCGTGTTTATTTGCTTACAAATTGTCTCTGGCTGATTTTTGCACAAGGGTAGAAATGAGTAATTGTACTATGGTGTCTTTTTTTGCAGGAGCATGATCGGAGATATTTCTCTGTGGCAGAGCAGTTGCTTAGCATTTGTGGGGCTCTGGGTTCTATTCACAGCATTGGTGGGGCAGGGGATGGGGAGAGGGAGGAACTGCAGGGAAGGAAAGAAAGAAATGTGTAATTGAGACAGAGACCCTGTAACCTGAAAAGCCTAAAATATTTACTCTCTAGTACTTTACAGAATAATTTACTATTCCTAACCTATAGAAGAACAACCTCTTAGATTTCTTTAATTATTCAAGGCCAGTCAACCAATAGATGCAAATGGCTACTATGTACCAGAAACTGTCCTAGGTGCTAAGGATAGAAATGCTCTCTTTTCCTTCACTCATTAAACAAACAAACAAAAAAACAATGATTGTTGTGCCCTCAAGGAACTCAGAGTTCAATTGGGGAAATCAAAAGATTTCCTTTAGAAAGGCAGCACAGCACAAGTATGGGCTCTGGAGCCAGATTGCCTTGGTTTAAATTCTAGTTTTGCCACTTATTCACTGTTTGATCTTGTACAATTTTTTTAAAGCTTTTTTATGATATTTTGCGTTTGTGTGTATGTGTACTGAGGGTGTGAACCTAGGGCCTTACATATGCTAGGCCTGTGTTCTACCATTGTACTATACCCCTAGCCCTGATCTCATACAATTTATTTAACTTCTCTGTGTCGCATTTTAAAATTCATGATAATAGTACCTATCTCATGGGATTATTATGAGGATGAAATGAGTTAATATATTTAAGGTGCTTAGAATAGTGCCTAGAGTATAATAAACATTCATTAAACTTTAGCTCTTTGATAAAGTGTGAAGTCATGGAGAAGAAAGAAATTCAGTTAAGAATAGAGGTAATTAATGATCAGGGAACTCTGGAGGAAAATGATGTCAAGTTTTGAAGTCTATGATTTGTTGCCAACCCGCTTTTCCAGTTTTCTTTCCTCAAAAAAAAAAAAAAAATCCACTCTGGTATGTTAGTTATGAAAGAATTATTGTTATTTTCTGAATGTATCTCATACTCTCTCTATACCATACTTTATTCCTGCTATTTTCTCTGCCTCAATGCTTTTTCTTTCATAATCTCCAAGGTGTATGTTAAATTCTTTCATTATAAGGATCTTTTAAAGTTGTCCAAGTTGAAAGTAATTATTCATTTATTAGCATGGTGTACGTGAGACATCTGAGTTCTAATTTAGTCTTTGCAATGTGGTTTGTGTTCTTCCATAAAATTTTTTTTAGAATGATTTAAACTATTTGTTAAAATAGATAAGATTATTGTTGTTAAATAAAATATGTAAATTGTCCACCAGGTACTTAGTTAGTATTGGTAACCTTTCCCTTCTCAAGAATTCATCAAATATAATCAGAAGCAAATCTATGGAAAAGTGATTTAATCTGACCTCAATTTGAAAACATGGATCATGTTTGTTTCTGTTTGTATCCCTAGCACCAGGCATAGTAGCTGGCTAGAGTAGCTTTCCTTTGTTTGAATTGAGAGGTTAAGATCACAGCTACTGGGTGACAGCAGTGGGCTAGAATCCAGTTCATCTAGTGTCTGAAGTTTAAGATGCTTTTTTAAATAAGAGAACACCTGTTCAAATCTACTACCTGGAGGATGTTATGTAGACACATAGTATTCAGAGTGGGACACATACTGAGATGAGAAATATCTTCTATTGAGATTTTATTGATTTATTTTATATAGGTCTTTTGTCATTAACTATTATATAGAGAAAATAAGATTTGTGATTTCAGATAGATATTTCTGAAAGCTCAGATTTTCCTACAATTTTTTTTTTGTATTGGGGATTGAACCTAGAGGCATTTTACTACTGAACCACAGCCACACCTCTTTTTTTTTTTTTTTTATCTTTTATTTTGAGACAGGGTCTGCTGCTTAGAGTCTCACTGAGTTGCTGAGTGAGACCCTAACTTGCTATCCTCCTGCCTTAGCCACTCGAGTTGCTGGGATTACAGGCATGCACCCTGGTGTTTTCTCTACAAGATATTTCTATGGTGTTATCAAAGTAAACATGGAGAATGTTTAATTTATGGATCTTGCCTCCATTTTCCTTCCAACATCTAATACATATAGGCATTTTGAATATATGCAAGAATATAATTATATGAGTGGTAAATTATCATATAAAGGACATTTTATTAAATAGATGTTTCTTGAATTTTTTCCCTACAAATTATGAAGTCTGATATTGATTCTAAAACTATGAAGCTGTAAAGCATAAAAAGTTGTCACAGTTCATATCACTATGGGAGTATGTTCTTGAATAAACTTAGAAAGATGAAAACCAAACATGACATAATGACGTTGTAGAACTAAAAAAAATCCTCACAAACCATCTAATTGAATTTGCTTGTCTTACAGATTAGGAAGTTGAAGTTTTTTTCCTCCCAAGAAAGCTTAATTTAAGTGAAATTGAAGTGATATTCTGATGTGTTTCACATACATTGCTCTACAATACTAGAAAAATAGAAATACCATATTCTCATTTTAAAAGTAATTCTTTCTGTCTTTGTGGTGTAGATCAGTGCTGCTGTTACTTTTCAGATAACAGTTAAGTGGTAACATTTAACTTCCTCATATAAACTAATATTTAGCATTTACTCATATGTTCAGTAAAAAACTTAACAAAAATGACACATTTTAAAGGAATATACAGTTACCAATTAGAGGATAAAATACCTAAGCAGTTGAATCTTAGAGAATCGTTTCCAAGTTTTCCCATTAATACTCGATTGCAATATTTATACTTTTTTTTTTATGTAGTAGATAAGTAGTAGAATGTGGAAAAGTCTTAGTTTGTATATCTAAAAAACGTGTATGTGTGCAGAAGAGTAGGGAGAATGTTATATTCTTCATTCTAATATTCATATTTCAAGTTTTTTATTTTTAGTACTGGAGATTTAATCCACTGAGCCATGTCCCCAGTTCTTTCTTTATTTTTTTGAGAGACAGGGTCACAAAGTTGCTGAGGATGGCCTTGGCCTTTAACTTGTGATCCTCCTGCCTCAGCCTTCGAAGTCTCTCTGAGATTGTAGGTGTGTACTACCCGGTCCAGCTACATTTTAAGTTTTTAAAATGTAATCTGTCATAAGTCAATTCGATCACTTGAAATCCTATTTTTTTTCTTAATGAAAAAAGTTTTTACTAAATTGATGGTTTGTCTTTCAATAGACGGTATTTTGGAATCAGGGCAGTATGTTTATATACCAGAGTGGTACCAGGCGTATTTGTTATCCCATTTATCCTATCCCCCATGTTACAGGTGAGAAAAATTTAGCTTCAAAAGCTACTAGGTTACTTAGTAGAAGAACAACAATAACAAACTTCAAATCCAGTGTGCTTTCTGAAAGTCTGTCCATTGGGCTGGGGATGTGGATGTAGAGTTCTTGCTTGGCGTGCTCAAGGTAATGGGTTTAATCCTCAACACAGCAAAATAAGTAAAAAGTCTTGTGAAGAGTCTTGTGGCTTTTAAGACTTAAAAGTAGTTAATACAAATGATGGTGATAACTTGTTTCATCTGAATGTTTCTAACTGTTGGCATTGTCTTTTCATATAGGAGAATAAATGTTAGAGTAAGCATTGAACTGCAATCAGTTTCTAATCCAGTTCATAGAAAGGTTAGTATTGCTTTTCAAAATGTGATAATTTCTGAATATTGTAGATAATTATTTTGTTTTTTCAAGAACGGGAGGTCTTCAGTTTTAGATCTTGCTTTTTAATTTTGGGCCATTTTGTAACTTTCAGTCTAAGATGGTGAAATCTACTGAGACAACTAGAATATAATTATATCATATATTTTTAAATTATACATGAAGAATTAGGGCTTGTGGTAAATATCTCCTTAGGTTTGCCCAGAACATTTAAAAGTTGCAAGGATATGTTCTGCTGCTTTAAAAAATTGGCATTTCATGCTATAAATGTGCGAACAGAATAAATTGAAGTATTAAAGAGATGTTCTTGAATCTTTACTTTTTGAAGACAGACACTTGGAACATTGGTTCCATCTGATCTTCAAAAGTAAGAGTCATTAACAGAGCTAAAGAAATAGCCCAGAGGGCTAAGGAAATAGACCAAAGGGCTAAGAAATACAGCATTTGCTTTCTCTGTTATAGCTTTCCCTGAACATATTTAGGACCTAAGTAGTAGCTTTTGTTTTTGTTTTGTTTAATAATATCTTGGAGTGAATTTCTAATATCTTGGAGTGAATTTCAAGAAGTACTTCAGTAGAAGCTGCTTAACAATGGGGCATTATAAGGCAGAGCAAACACCTGAATGATTAATTTTCCAGGGCGGAGATTATTGATTGCATTTTTGGTATTATTCCTTGTACCTGCTGAACCTCTTCATTTTCCTAGCTCTACTTATTAATGGCTTAGATTTTTCTAGGGCCCTAGCAGTTCCTTGGTAGTCATGAATAGATTTTACTTCAAACTTATTCATAACATGAATGCTTAGTGCTTTATTAGTCCCTGCTCATCTTGTAGTTACACTATATTTTCTTTGCATACATAATTTTGATGTCTGTTTCTGTCAGCATTGGCTGCTATAATGCTCTGCCACACTGTAAATTTGATAACCTGGGAAGTAGCCTTTATGAAAGGAACACACTTTGTTAGAAAAATGAAGACAGATGGGTTAGCCAGCTGGAGTAGGAGAGAATAGACCCTTAATAAGAATACCTGGCAGTACGTCACCTGATACTTATCTTTTACCTGGGCCCCAGAAGCTCCTTCCTTCTCTTGGATGGATGATTATTCCTCTCTTCTGTTGATACACTTATTGCTTATGAAATACCAGGTTAGTTAATTTAAGGAAAGCAAAATATAATTGAATGCAGTACGTTCAGTGGTAAAGAATATTTTTGCCATTATGCCATAGTGCAGTAAAGACTCATCTAAATTTCCCTATGCCTCTGATAGGATTATATTCCTAAACTTTCAATTCCTAGTATTTAATTTACTTTTACAGACCTCTCTAAGGCTTTCAAGTAGCAGAATATCTACTCCTGTTTAAGATTCTAAGTCTCTAAAGAACAATAAAAAATAAACAGCACCAGAAAACAAAGTTAACTGAAGTAATCATGGTAATATGTTGATCTTACTGGATAATTTTCCTTTCAAGAGGGAAGATCTTCTGAAAACATTTTTTTTTTTAAATCTTCTTTTTAGGATTTGGTTATTCGTCTGACTGATGATACAGATCCATTTTTTCTGTATAATCTTATTATATCTGAGGAAGATTTTCAAAGGTAAGTAATTTTTTTTCTGTTCTTATATTTAAAACTAGGAATTAGTTTCTCAGTTATATGAATATTTGTACTATTCTCTTTGAAACATACCTATTTAGAACTTTTAGTTATTCTGGGAATACTGGATTGTTTGTTGTACACTTGATTGCTGTGTTGCACGTCACTAAAACACTCAGGGGTCACTCCAGGGGAACTGGGCTGCATGAAATAACCACAAAAGAGACAGAAATACCTTTTTCTTTGGGGATGCTGTGACGGCTCCTCTGACCTTAAGGGTCTGCAGAAGGAGAGAGAGAAAGCAAGTGCTAACCCCTTTTATTGAGGAGAAGCCATTCAAATGAGGCAAAGGGTCAGGTTTTAAGGGGCTGAGTCTAGCTTCATGATGTCTGCTGTCAGCAGGTTGACTGACACCTAGGGAGGCCACACACAAAGGGCGTTTCCAAGGAACATTCTATCCCAAACAGGGCAAGGGGTAATATCACAAAGGAACAAGTGAGCATAGCTCAACCCATGGGGCTGTAGGAAGACATGCCCATTCAGGGAGACACATTTATGTTTTCTTTACCTTCAAGATCTGGCTACCGTCTTCAGTTACTTAAAAGCAACCAGATCACAGGGTGACCTACAGTGCCTCAGCTGACCAGGAGGGGAAGCAAACGCTGGTTACATGCTATGTCGGCCTCCCACACTTGATTAAGGATGTCTTTGAAAATAAATATTCATAGAATATCAGAAGTCTACATATAACAGCTCAGAAATTTCTAGCTTTGACTAAATTTCTTTACTTTTTTCTCTCATTAAGTAAATTCTATAAAATATAAAATTCCCTAGCTTAGTTCTTGATTATAATAGGTGTTTAGTAAAGAAAAAATCTTTTAGGGTATTAATTATATAAAAGATAGTAATTAAATTTTTTAAAAAATTCTTTTCCTGTTTCTTATATAGTTTAAAATTCCAGCAAGGTCTTCTGGTAGACTTCTTAGCTTTCCCACAAAAATTTATAGATCTCCTTCAACAGTGTACTCAAGAACATGTTAAAGAAATTCCAAGGTAAGTTGCATGAGAATACTACATTATTAAACAAGATAGATGCCTTTGAAAAAAAGACGAGCTGATGGCAAAATATTTCCATGAATTCTAAGTAACCCTATTTGTTTTAAAACTGGAGTAGGGATCCACTAAATTTCAAAGTTTAAGGAGTCTTGATTAAAGTCAGAAATATTTAACTATTCTCAGGTTTTGACAAAACCACTGAAGTTATCTAAAATATAGCATCAAGCATTTGCTTTTTTACTGATCTTGGAAAACAAGAAATATAAGATTTTGTATGTACATGTTCATATCTGGGGTGCTAATGCCTAAGCCATTTGCCATCAACCTTATATTGGTTTCATCAATTGATGATTTTTCAGTCATTTATTTCTATAGGAACAACAAAATGATGCTTTTCTAAATCTATCATTCTTTCTACATTGGTATAATTCTTCTATCAACTTTGCCTTATCAAGCAGGGCTATTTAATGACTTTGCAAGTTCATATAGGAAAACATAAATGCTTGATTCATACTTTTAAATTGTTAGCTTTCATAGTTAGGAGCTCGTAAACTGTTTACTCCTGTGGCATTCAATGAATTTTTGGTTTTAGGTTTTGCTCTCTGCCTTCTCACTATGAACTCAAGGACTTTTATATATTTACTGTGTTTTGTCAGCCTTTCTCACCCTAACACCCCAACTTATCTTTTACCAGTAGGAGTCCTTTTACATTAGCCCCTATTATTTCAATGTTCTCTCTTTTCTGGTCTTTCTAAGAAGAGGAGCTTCATTATTTCATTAGTTTGTTATAATGTGACATTTTCTTTTTAAAGGTTTTTGCTACAGTTAGTTTCTCCAGCAGCTATTTTGGATAATTCACCTGCATTTTTAAATGTGATAGAGACAAATCCTTTTAAGCATCTTACACATCTCTCACTAAAACTCTTACCTGGAAATGATGTGGAAATAAAGAAATTCCTAGCAGGTTGTTTGAAATGTAGTAAGGTAAGTTTTTCTTTTAAATTAGTTTTCAAAGTATTTTGATAAATCACTAAAGAGCTGCATTGCCCTTATTTTTTGTTTTCTGAATAAAGGTTTGTTGCATGTAATGAACTTAGTTTGTTGTTTTTCATTTAGTTGAGGTACAGCAAGTATAGAACTAGACCAGAAATTGAGAAACTTAGGTCCCAAGATTTTTACTAGTGTTCTATAACCTTAGGCAGGCTACCTAAAACACTTGTGTCATGATTCCATCAGTGGTATATATCTATGAGAATATCTACTCTATCTAGCTCTTCTTAAATGAGATTATATATATGAAAGTGTCTTGAATATTAAAAAATGTAATAAGATATATAGCACAAGAAAAATCATAGTGTTGCCACTTGAGTTTTTAGAAATTTTTTTACATTAAATTTATACATCAGTGCATTTCCACTGAAAATGGTGCATAGATCATCTAGGGATCTTGTTAAAATGCAGATTCTGATTTAGAAAATCTGAGATTTTGTGTATCTAACAAGCTTTTAGGATGATGCCAGTACTTATTTTACTATACTTTGAGTAGCAAGGCTACAAATGATTGAATTAAATTATAAACTGCACTATTTTATTTTTATAAATAGGAAGAAATATTATCATTGACACAATCACTAGATGATGTTACTAGACAACTGAACTTGACACAAAAGGTAATTCATATTTCACTTTGAAAGTCAAAATGTCTTTGTCTTTGTAAGTCAGTCAGATATTGATTCTTAATTGCTTCTTGAATTAAGTCCATGCTTTATATTTTCTTTCAAAGTATTTTACCATTGAATTTCCCCTGCTTTTTGCTACCTTTCACCTACTAATTTCCTTAATGTCATGCTTTCTCCTTTACTTAATTCCACTAAAAACTTCTATCATCTCCAATATGACATGCTTTCTGTAATTCTTCATGAAATAAGATATTTAGTTTCTATTATATATTAGTTCTTTTCTCTCCTTTTATTCACTTCATTTCTTTGACTTAAAATGGCTTTTCAGTTCCTATGTTCTAAACTACCTTCCCTTATGGTTAGAATTAATTCCTTTGCTGGGCTTCATCTCATTTCAGTTGTAGCTACTGCATTTTTGCCATTGGTCCTTTAAATTGACACATTTTCCCCAAATTACCTGATAAGCTGCATGGCTTCAGGCAGAAAATACTAGGGATCATGTTACTGCATTGTATGTATAAGAAATTAACTCCTCTTTATGACTTGAGTGTTCCACCTAGGTTGCTTTACTTCTTAATACCAGAATGCTTCTGGAGATTAAACCCAAGGGCACTCTACCACTGAGCTACATTTCCAGCCCTTTTTATTTTAAGACAGGGTTTGCTAAGTTGCCCAGTCTGGCCTTGAACTTTCAGTCTTTCTCTTTCAAGTTTTCCCAGAAGCTTAGTTTACAGGAGTGTGCCACCATTCCAGGCTAAGTGCTAGATATAATTAAAAGTTTAATTAAAGATAATTAAGCTTAATTTTGGACCACTTGAGCTCTAAAATTCCTTTTATTCTAATCTTGATTCCCTCGAATACAAAACATCAAATATAAAAATATAAAAAAGGTTTGAGTATGTCTTGACAAGTTGAAATTTCACTTTCTTTAATACCCTTTTAAGTATTGCTGTGTGTTATTCAGAAGTGTAAAATATTCAGGAGATTATCTTAATATTTTGTACCAAATTTTAATATAGACATTATCAGAAAAAATACAAGAATTAGAAAAGTTACGGAATGAATGGGAATCACACACAGCATCATTGACAAATAAGCATTCTCAGGAACTGACGAATGAGAAGGAAAAGGCTTTACAGGTAAGAATATTAGAAGGAACTGGAAAAATAAATTTTTATTGCTGTTGATTTTGTTAATTATAAAAGTAATAAATGCTTGCTTTAAATTGTTCAACCATTATGAAGTATATAAAAATTGAAAGTTTATCTTTCAAACTTAAACTAAAAGATGATTTATAAACATTTTGATGTGATTTTTCTGAACTTTTCTCTGCATGTGTAAATAATATGTGACTTATAAATATTTATTTATACTAATGCAAATTATAATTATAGATATATGTGCACACATGGTGAGTTTAATTTTGTTCTGTACAATTAAAGTCTTATTAGATAAAAAGATTATAGCCTTTTTCACTTTGCATAAGATAATTCTATCAGTTCAGATATTACTTTTTAGTGGCCGCATAGTATTCATTGAATATAATGTTATCTACTTACTGGGGGATATATAACTGCTTTGATATTTTGGCTATTACGAACAATAGTGCATTGGACATTCTTTGTTGAGATTGCAATATAGCTATATAAAATATTGAGGGATACTGTAAATTTGCCACTCAAAAAAGTCATACTAAATATAATCCCTAAGATAATTATTTCATCATCATCATCATTATTATTATTATTATTAACCTTCTTATTTGAAACCTGATCGGTATCATGGTAGTACTTTGTTTTGATTTACATTTCTTAGATTTAGAGGGAATATAAGCAACCTTTAACATGACTTTTGATGATTTTTGTTTTGAGATTACCTTTTAATATCTTTTGTTCCCTTTTGTTGTGTAATTATCATTTTCTATTGCTTTGTAGTATGACTTCTTTCTTCCGTTTTATTGCTTTTTTATTTATTTTATTTTTTTAAAGAGAGAGAGAGAAGAGAGAATTTTTTTTAATATTTATTTTTTAGTTTTTTGGCGGACACAACATCTTTGTTTGTATGTGGTGCTGAGGATCGAACCCGGGCCGCACGCATGCAAGACGAGCGCGTTACCGCTTGAGCCACATCCCCAGCCCCTGTTTTATAGCTTTTTTAATACTAAAATTTTTTATTCACTTTACCAGATGTTTGCACTTGAGAGTACAGATGATTTTTTTTATGTGTAACTTTCACCAAAATTAAGATTTGGAAAATTGTACTACCCGTCTGGGTTCCCCCATGTGCTTTCCTGACTTATCTAATACTCTTGTAGGAGGTCATCACTTGTCTGACTTCTGTCATTATTGGTTAGTTTTGCCTGTTCATACTTATTTCTCATGCTTTTAAAAAACAATATATACTGGGTTGGGTTTGTGGCTCAGTGATAGCGCATTCGTTTGGCATGCGTGAGGCACTGGGTTTGATCCTCAGCACCACATAAAAATAAATAAATAAAGGTATTGTGTCCATCTACAACTAAAAAAATATTTAAAAGAAAGCAATATATGAGTTGTCTTAATTGTTTTTACAATGATTTCTTTATATTAATAGTAGATTTTCTGTGAGGAAAGTCCTAGCAACAAGTAGAATCATCCTTCTTTTATGTATTATTATTATTTAAAAAAATTTTTTTTAGTTATACATGGACATAATACTTTTATTTTGTTTATTTATTTTTATGTGGTGCTAAGGGTTGAACCCACTGAGCCACAGCCCCAGTCCTGTATTATTTTCTTGATCCTACTTATTTACTTTTCTTTTTCATAGAATTTTCTATTAATGTTTGTTTTTCGATTCTTATAAATCCATCCCCCAAATAATTTTCTGCATCTCATGTTCTCCTAAAACTACTGTGTGCCCTAAGACTATATAGGATAGTCTTTTAATTTGTTCTAATTAGTTATACATGACAGAATATATTTTGACACATTGTACACAAATGGAGCACAACTTCTCATTCCTCTGGCTGTGCATGGTGCACATTATTACCCTATATACATGTATGATTACACTGGTTGTGTAATCATACATGTATATAGGGTAATAATGTCCATTTCATTCCACCATCTTTCCTGTCCCCTTTCCCTCCCTCCCTCCCCTCTGTCCAATCCAAAATTCCTCCATTGTTCCCTACTCACCCCCCATAAGATATTCTTTTGACATATATGCTTCTACCTGTACAAATTATCCCTTTTTCATTGGGTTTTATTGTTTTCCTGAAGCTATCCTGCCAAAGATTAGTCTTCCAAATGGAAATGATTTTTCTTAATTTTTTTTCTAAAAAGTTCAAATGATTCAGAAGTAAACAAATATATACTTTGTAATCCTATCACTCATTCTTTTTTTTTTCTTTAGAAAAGGACCACAATAAAATCATTATTTGTACTGCACTTGTCCTCTATTGATTGTCTTTAATGTCTTGATAGGCTTATTCTAGTTTTTTTTTTTTTTCATGATTACTTGTTCAGTATTTTACATGATGGTATTTTCATTTTTATATGGGCTCCTTTCTGGTTTTTATGTCATTTGCCCTTTCTTTCCAAAAATGAGGGACTCCCTAAAGTAGTAATTGTAAGAGTCTCAGAATATTTTATGAAAGAGGACTTCTCCTGCACTACTGATAAGAATTTGAATGGGAACAAGTTTTCTGCAATGTTATTTTTTATTTTTATTTTTATTTTGGTACTGGAGATTGAACCCATGGGTGCTTTACCAGTGAGCTCCATCTTCAGCCCTTTTTATTTTTTTGAGACAGGTGTTACTAAGTTGCTTAGTACCTTGCCAAATTGCTGAGGCTACCCTTGAACTTGCTAACCTCCTGCATCTCTGGGATTACATTCGTGAGCCTCCACACCTGGCCAGTCTTGTAACTTTATTAGTTTTTTTTTGTTGTTGTTGTTTATATTCTCCAATCTGTAATTTGATTATGAGAAACTAATTTTGATTTTGGATTTCAGATCTGTGATTAATACAGTTTTACTTGTAATTGTGAAAAACTGGAAACTAAAATGTCTATATTGGAGCAGGGGTTAGGTGAATTATCAGTAGCCATGGCATGAAATATTTACAAAGGGAGAACATGTAAATTGTACAAGAATAAAAAATATGGTTAAATTGTGTACATATCTTGATTTTGTTTCATAAATTTGATTATGTATATTGTGCATAAATGTGGGATGTTAATATGAATATATAAATGACAAGAAAGGAATATTCCTAAATATTTAAGAATGACTCCTTGTATAGGATTATGTTATCTGTAATACCCAATGTGCCTTTAAGAATGTATATATCTTTCAAAATCAAAAAAATATGCTTTCTTTTTAAAAATATTTTTGAATTTGATAGTGTTCATTAATAGATAGTGTGGTATGATTGGAACAGGCATCAGAGATTGCATCATTACAACTATGTTCACATTTTATAGTTGATAAAATGTAACTGCTGACTATGAGATTGGGCCAGTGATTAAACCTGGCCATTTTTACAGTTACAGATATTTTTCCATTATAAAACATATATGTATATACTGATTGTTAAGAACTGAAACAATACTGCGGTGCTTTAAGCAAGAACAATGTTCTTATGTACTAGTTTTTCTTTAGTGCAAATATGTTCATACTAGATATATATTTTTTTGTTTTCTTTTTTTACTTAATCATATATCATTCTTCCCTTAACTTAATGATCATTACTTCCAAACGTGAGTTTAAGAGAAGTAGAAATTCTGAACAAGATCACAATGGTAGATTTGCTTTTATTGGTGTACTTTCTCCTTCTTTTTTTTTTTAAAGAGAGAGTGATAGAGGGAGAGAGAGAGAGAGAATTTTTAATATTTATTTTTTAGTTATCGGCAGACACAACATTTTGTTTGTACGTGGTGCTGAGGATCGAACCCGGGCCGCACGCATGCAAGATGAGCGCGCTACCGCTTGAGCCACATCCCCAGCCCCTACTTTCTCCTTCTTGAAAACCATAGTAGAAAATAGACCTTTTTAAAAACAGGAAACCTAATAACTTTAAAGAAGAAATTGGGGTTATTTTTCTTCAATCTTTACATATATTTGTGATTTTTTTTCATTTATTTTTATTCAATAATAGGTACAAGTTCAATATCAACAGCAGCATGAACAACAGAAAAAAGATTTAGAAATCCTCCATCAACGAAATATCCACCAGCTACAGAACAGATTGTCAGAGTTAGAGGCACTTAATAAAGACCTAACTGAAAGGAAATATAAAGGAGACTCCAGTATTAGAGAACTTAAAGCAAAACTTTCTGGTGTTGAAGAGGTATGTTGGCTTCTACCCCTGCATCCTTGCATCCTAATTTAAAAGAGTGTTTTAATTTGGTCACTTTATTTTAATTTGATTACTTATATTACTTGTGTGGATGGGGTTCTCTGGATGTACCACAAAGATTTTTTATGGAGTTAGGATAATCATTTCAGATAAATGCAAAATGACTGAAATTTGATAAAAAGAGCTAACTCAGACAGAATTGAGGTAGGCTTGGATATCTTTAGTTAGGACCTAGAGGAGCAGTTCTTTGGCACATCTTTCTGATTTTTCAGTATATATATATATATATATATA